CTGAATAATTGGAGACATAACAAAATAAGCCAAAGTAAAGTTAAAGAAAAAACAAAATATAAACAAAAGAAGAATAATAAATTAGAAAATTAAAAAACCTCCACAGTTGATTTTTAAAAAATCTAATAGCATTTCTGTTGAAAGTATAGGCAAAAAATTAGTTGATCTAATCAAAATAATATGGGAGAAAACACAAATATAAAAAATTAGGGGCCGGGCGCGGTGGCTCACGCCTGTAATCCTAGCACTTTGGGAGGCCGAGGCGGGCAGATTGCTCAAGGTCAGGAGTTCGAAACCAGCCTGAGCGAGACCCCGTCTCTACCAAAAATAGAAAGAAATTAATTGACCAACTAAAAATATATATATACAAAAAATTAGCTGGGCATGGTGGCGCATGCCTGTAGTCCCAGCTACTCGGGAGGCTGAGGCAGCAGGATAGCTGAGCCCAGGAGATTGAGGTTGCTGTGAGCCAGGCTGATGCCACAGTACTCACTCTAGCCTGGGCAACAAAGTGAGACTCTGTCTCAAAAAAAAAAAAAAAATTAGGACTAAGAAATGGACATATATATATTCACAAATATAGAGAATATTTTACACTTGTGAGAGAATGCAAAATAAAAATGAATGAAAATAAACCACTGATTCCTACTTAAATTTGCAATGGATCTAATATGGTAAAAATGTACTTAAGTATGGAAATAATGCTAAAAGGAAATTGATCAAAATGTGGATAGCAGTCATCTCTTAGTGGTAGAATTACAGATAATTTTTATTTTCTTCTATACACTTTCCTCAATAGTACATAGTTACTTTCCTAATCAGAATACAAAAATAAAATCAGGAAATGTAATTTTTAAAGAAGGGAAATGGTTGTTACAAGTTCCCTTCTACTAAACAATGGTTCTCAAACTTGAATCTGTATTAGAATTACCTGGACAGTTAATGAAAAGAAACTGTTGCCTCTGCCCCTCTCTCCCATTCAGTAGGTCTGGATGGGGCACGAGAATCTGCATTTCTAACAAGTTCTGCTGGGCTAATAGTTGGCAACATAGAAAGACCACATAGTGTAGTGAAAATGATGTGGGTTTTGAGGTCAGTCTGGTCGGATTCTGGCTCTGACTTTTGCAGGCTGTGTGGAGCAGTAGTCAATATACTAACCCTGCTCCACCTCTGTTTCCACATTGATAAAATAAAAGTAATGCATCCCTCATAGGTATATTGTAAAGGTTAAATGATGTGATTAAATACGCAAAACAGTGCTCAACTTAGTTGAGGTCTTTAATTAATGTTGGTCCCCTTCTCTTTGATTTTCTGTGAAGATGCAGCACGTCGTTTCTCTAACTGGGTTTACAGTGACATGATTTAGCTGCCCCATAGGTCAAATCATTTCCTCCAAACCTAACAAGCCATACATGTCTGTCTGCTCCTAACAAACCTTCATTATTCATCTATAAAATTGGGGATAATAGTATAACCTTATTTACTTTGATAAAATAGGTGATAGTATCCACTTTGTAGGGATGGAACCATGAGGATTAAACAAGATAATATATCAAGTGTGTAACACAGTAATTGGCATGTGGAAGATACATAGTAAATGTCAGTTCCCTTTCCCATTTCCTTTTATGTATTTATTCTTTTGAGACAGAGTCTCACTCTGTTCCACGGGCTAGAGTGCCGGTGGCCTCAGCCTAGCTCACAGCAACCTCAGAGTCCTGGGCTCAAGCAATCCTCCTGCCTCAGCCTCCTGAGTAGCTGGGACTACACGCGCTCACCACCATGCCCAGATAATTTTTTGTTTCTATTTTCAGTTGCCCTGCTAATGCTAATTTTTTCTTGTTTTTTTTTCTTTTTCTTTTTGGATACAGAGTCTCACTTGGTTGCCCTGCTAGAATGCCGTGGCGTCAGCTTAGCTTACAGCAACCTCAAACTCCTGGGCTCAAGCAATCCTTCTGCCTCAGCCTCCCAAGCAGCTAGGACTACAGGCATTCGCCACTATGCCCATATAATTTTTTCTATATATTTTTAGTTGTCCAGCTAATTTCTTTCTATTTTTAGTAGAGATGGGGAAGGGTGTCTTGCTCTTGCTCAGGCTGGTCTTGAACTCCTGATCTCCAGCAATCTTACTGCCTCGGCCTCCCAGAGTGCTAGGGCTACAGGCCTGAGCCACTGTGCCCGGCCTCCCATTTCCTTTAATTGGTATTTATCCATAGTATTTTGACCTAGTTCAAAAGCTCACCTAATCTAGAATACTTCAAATTTTCCACTTTAATCACATTGCTCTCTTTTGTGTCACATTTAATTTGAAGTCGATTATTTAGTTTATTTAAGTACTGGTAAGAATACATTTTATATAAACTATCACATTGGACGTTCAAAGAGATACATAGAAGAGTGTTCCCTAATTTGGAAGTTCTTAGTTAAAATGGCAACATACATGAAAACTTGAATAGGAATTCAAGGCAGGGTGGGACCAATTATCCAGAAAGTAAGTGTGGTAGGAGTTTTGAGATTATAGTGGCTGATCCGTTGACTATTTTACACTCAGGAACTAGAAAATTACTAAGAGTTATAAGAGAGCTGTGGTTTTATGGCTGAGAAATAGACCCAGAGATCTGTGGTTTAGGGTCAGAGTTATGAGGTGGCACAGGTTTCCTGTCTCCTGGTCCTATGCTGCTTGTAGATATGTTTCTGTTTTCATGTCTTTTCATCAGCTAATGTTTGCTTTTTTAATTTTTGACAGGGTCTTGTTCTATTGATCAGAATGGAGTACAGTGGTGCAATCATAGCTCACAGCAACCTGAAACTCCTGGCCTCAGGTGATCCTCCAGAAGTTCTAGAATTACAGGTATGAGCCACCACACCTGGTCTGTTTGCTCTTTTTTTTTTTTTTTTTTTTTTTTTGAGACAGAGTCTCACTTTGTTGCCCAGGCTAGAGTGAGTGCTGTGGCATCAGCCTAGCTCACAGCAACCTCAAACTCCTGGGCTTAAGCGATCCGCCTGCCTCAACCTCCTGAGTAGCTGGGACTACAGGCATGCGCCACGATGCCCGGCTAATTTTTTCTATATATATTAGTTGGCCAATTAATTTCTTTCTATTTTTTTATAGTAGAGACGAGGTCTCGCTCAGGCTGGTTTTGAACTCCTGACCTTGAGCAATCCTCCCGCCTCGGCCTCCCAGAGAGCTAGGATTACAGGTGTGAGCCGCTGTGCCTGGCGTGTTTGCTCTTTTTAACTAGATAGTTTAGTGTAGCCAGTTAAGCACTGGGAACTGAAGCCAAAATGTTTGGGTTTGAATCCTGGCTTTGCCATTTATTCTAATTATGACTTTGGGCAAGTCACTTATCTCAGTTCCCCACCTGTAAAATGAGTACCTTATTTCATAGGGTTGTTGTGAGGATTAAATAACTTAATATATGTAAAACAAGAAAAACTGTGGATTTGTCATTATAATTGCTACTTGTCTCTGAGAGATTGGAGGGCAAAGAATCTAACCATCTATTTTTTGTTTTGTTTTTGTTGTTTTAAAACATCTTCTCTCAAATTCTGATCAGAGCATCCAGGTGGGTGTTCAGTAAATATATGTTAGCTACCTTAAGCCTACTGGAAGTTTCTGTATCTCTGAAAAGTGCGATTTGAGATTGGTGTAAGCCTGGCCTAGTCTGCTACTGGGAAAGTCCAGAAAAGTAAAAACTGATACATGGCAACAGATTTTAGGACCTAATAAAGCTTCTTCTTTAGAAAAGTCAGTCAAAACCAATAGGTGCTGAGAAAAATGGGGGTCAATGAGTCTAATTCTATTGTTTTTTTTTTTTTTTTTTTTTTTTAATTTTGAGTAGTATTCCATTGTAATGAGTCTAATTCTAAATGAGCTTTCCCAACTATTTTAAGATTTATTCCAGGCCCACACGGTGGCTCATGCCGGTAATCCTAGCACTCTGGGAGGCCGAGGCGGGTGGATTGCTCAAGGTCAGGAATTGGAAACCAGCCTGAGCAAGAGTGAGACCCCATCTTTACTATAAATAGAAAGAAATTAATTGGCCAACTAATATATATAGAAAAAATTAGCATGGTATGGTGGCACATGCCTGTTGTCCCAGCTACTTGGGAGGCTGAGGATTGCTTGAGCCCAGGAGTTTGAGGTTGTTGTGACCTAGGCTGACGCCACAGCACTCACTCTAGCCTGGGCAAAAGTGAGAATCTGTCTAAAAAAAAAAAAAAAAAAGATTTATTCCAAATTTCCTTAGACAAAAATGTGGCCTTTTAAGGAAAATGCAGAGAACATGTCTTCGTGGGCTTGTTTTGAGGGAATGTTTTAATAGGTGCTGCATTTCACCCTGGAGGTGGCTGCATGAATTTGCGAACTTAGGTGACAACATTGACTTCTCTCCAGAAGAAAAGATGCTGTCTGTACACAGGGAGTTTAATTACAATGGCATTACTTTAAACAAGCAGCAGCAGCAGCAGCACCACCACCACCAAATGCCAGTGTTAGCCCAGTCACAGCTCAGTTCAATATTCAGATTAGAGAAAACAAGAACCATTTTTTCTTCCTGGGGCACCCTTCTCTATTCTCCTCAAATACCTGCTGAAAAAAATTCTGAGCCGAATTACAAGCCAAGAGGGCTGTCGCAACATTAGGGAGTGGGGAGAGCGGGTGGAGGTGAAAAATAACCTATATTCTGGGGTTAGAAAAACAGTGGTTTTTTTTTTTTTTGCCAGGAATTTGGCACTACCTTCAGCATCATCTTTTAGGAAATCTAGTGATGGAGAAGGGTACCAACTGGCCTTCAAAATCTTCTGCCTTTGGCAGATGCAAATCACACAGTCCACTCCCACCCTTGGCATTCAGGCGATATCAGAGTGAAATAAGCAACAATGACAAATCTTAAAGTGAAAACAGAAGGTCAGCCTAGGGTCTTTGTGTGGAAGGGAGTTAATGATGATCAGGCCCACCCATAACGTCAGCAAAGGTGGAAGAAATAAGAGTCACCACTGGCTGAGGAGCCCCAACATTTATTTGGGGGCGAGTCAGCGGGCTGGGTCTCCTGGTACCCTAGGTTCTGCCCTGCACACAACCTTTAGCAGTTTCTCGGTTTGAATCTAGCTTGTACATTCCCAGAGGAGACACTGTCTTACTGAGCGTTTTCGTAGCGCCTAGCTCAGAGCTGACTGCAGAGCCAGCTCTCAACAACACTTGGAAGCAAAATCAGCATTTGAGGTTGGGGGCGGAAGGGCACCGGTTTTATTTTTGGTCCGGAGTTCCGGTATGGCCTGCTCCAACTGCCAGCACAATATTCCCGATCACTCTCTTCCACTCCTGCCCAGGTGACGTCGGGAAGCTCCACAGGACCCTCTTGGGGCCAAGCGGTTAAGCCGCGTAGTTCAGGTGTCAGCCTCGATCCGTTCGGAAACCACAACCCCCAGAATCCCTGGTGTCAGGAGGCCAGGCCGCAAAGAAGATGGCTCTAGAAGGGTGGAACAGGCAGCAGGGGGAAACCTAGTCTTTGGCAGTTTCTTTTCCGGATGTGTTTAAATTTCCGAAAGCCCACATATGCACCACCCCACTAACCACCTTCGGGGCTGCGGAGGCCACGGCAGCCGCCTCGCCCGCTCCCCCAGGGGCATGCTGGGAGTTGTAGTCCAACCGGCGAACTGCGCCGAACTACCTTTCCCAGGGTGCCCCGTGACCAGGGCGATAACATTCTTTTCCAAAACTCTCTCTGCAATGAGACCCACTTCCCACGGTCTCCTTCTCTCCGTCGACTCCATCCCATCTGTCGCAACAGAGCGGTGGTAGCAGCAGAGGCCCCGGCCCTCGCCGCACCGCCCCGAGGGACACTTCCGGCGACGATTCACTTCCTGGTTGGGTGGATGGAGCCGGGCGGGAGCGCGCGCGGGGGAGGGGCGGCGGGTCAGTCTCCGCCGGGCGCTCCGGGGATCAGCTGGCGCGCGGGCGGGCGCCGAACGCGGCCCCGGCTCTCGCTGCAGCGCCGCCTCCTCTCTGCGTCGCAGGCCGGCCCAGCGGCCGTGACAATGTCGCGGGGCTGGTAGTTGGGCGCCAGCCGCCGAGCCATCTCAAGTGGGTGCAGCCAGGATGCTGCCTCGAGGGGCGGCGGGGAGACCGGGGAGGAGGGGGAGGCAGTGCCCGGCAGGGTCGGTGCTGCCCGAGCAGCTCGAATCCCTCCTTTCTCCGATCCCCGGGCACCGGGGTCCCGGGCTCTGGGGCCAGGGAGGCGTTTTCAGCCCCAGGGTTTTTCTCGCCAGGAAAATGCATGAAGCGTTTCCCCAGGATGATGGCTTTTGCTCCCCCTAGGACTCAGCAGTTGAATTTCTAAGTGTGTTACTGATTCATCCTCTCTCTTCCTCTGTCATCACAGGTTTAAACTTACACGAATCGCTCTCTGGAGGAGGAGGGGACCCGCCGCGCGATTGACACGCGTATTCCTATAGGCATCCTCCCTCAGCCCCCACCCCCACGGCCGGATTCGGGTGGCTCCTCTCCGAGCTGAAATCCGAGAAGAAATCCTTGGATCTCTTTTCTTAAAAAAAAAAGAAAAAATCTAAAAACCGTCGGTATTTTGCTTTGCTGCTTCCTATTTGTAAGATGAAGAAGTTTTTCGACTCCCGGCGAGAGCAGGGCGGCTCTGGCCTGGGCTCCGGCTCCAGCGGAGGAGGGGGCAGCACCTCGGGCCTGGGCAGTGGCTACATCGGAAGAGTCTTTGGCATCGGGCGCCAGCAGGTCACTGTGGACGAGGTGTTGGCGGAAGGTACAGTGGGACTCAGTGCGCCGTAAATTAAAATCTTGTGCTGATGCGGCAAGACTCTGGTTTCTAGTTGTTGAATGTATGAATGGGTTGTGACCAATTGACCCTCCCTTCCCCCCTCACTTGCCCTGTGAGTCATTGTCCTTGAGAGATTTAAAACTGAGATTTGAAAGTGACAGGGCTTATGGGGGTGCGGGGAGTTGCCGAAATTGTTTATCTCAGTGGCCTTTTATTTATTTTTTTAAAACGTTGGAAAGCCACCCTCGTCCCCTCATCGAATTATGAGGATCAGACGAGAAAACGTCTGTGTGAAAGTGGAAAGCTTTACACCAGATGCAGGGTGGTGGGCTTGTCATCCTCCTAAAACTTGAAATATTGATGTGAAGGCTGAAGGGTAGGGATTGGGGGGGGGGGCTTTAGAAGAAGAGAGAGCGGTTTCTGCTTCTCCTACCTACCTAACTTTCCCACTTCATGAGCAGGCGTTGGAAGGAAGAGAGCATTTTCGGAGAATGGGAATGTGTTTTACCAAGAGCCAAGGCTCTTGGTGGATTTGACTAGGTTTGTTTCCTGACCCAGCTGTAATCAGGTCCCCAGGATATAGCTAAGATAACAAATTATATAAAACGAATGTGGCTATTTTGAATTCAGTCTAGTAGGCCCCTCTTCCTTCTGTTTTAGTCTTTTTTTTTTTTTTTAACCAAAAGAAGAATTACTTGAGAGTGGCTCTGATCTTGTTTTTCCTCTGTTGGAGAGGATGTTATGTAGATCTGTGTAAATTCCCTCTGTGTTTTGTCAGTATATCTATACTCTTGTAGATACATATCTTTATCCCCCTGGCTTTCAGGAAATCTTTGCTTGTCTCTTTTGGTAACCTTAACCTCGACCTTCATAATTATGCTAGACTCAGACTTTTCACAGCCCATTGCCTGCCTGGTGTGCTTTTATTTTTAATAAAAGCAGCAATTTCCTTGGCATGAAGCAATTCAAACTAATTGGATGGGGCCAACCCGCTGTAGGTTGTGTTATAGACAGACAGGGGTTGGAGGAAGGGGGAGGCCTGTATTACTGCAACATGGTGGTGGTAGGGAACAGTTTATTAGCTGGGGAAGAGAGAAGGCTAAGAGGCCTCTTTAAGAAGGAGTCTTTTGTAAGCTGAGGTTGAATGAAGGGTCCTGACCTAGCCCTGGGACATGCTTGTCATGGTGAGTGTTGCAGGCTGGTGGGTGGGTCGGGAAGAGGAAGAAGCTGTCTGTGTTTGGCTCTCAGCTTGTATAAGCACTAAATTCAGCAGGGCCCAGTTTTCTGGGGTAGGGTTGAAAACACTATTTTAGAAAAGATATCTGACAATTAATGTCCTTCTGAAATTATTGCTCTTTTCCATTCTCAGTACTGCTCCAGCTGGACTTAATCCGGGGCCTGAGTCACTGTCCCTCTGGATCCTTCTTGTGGGCTTTGGTGCAGAATAGAGAGATGCTTCTGTGCCCGCTGTCAGATCCGCACCCTTGAGTCTGATATGTTTGTTTCCTCCTTGTGCCAAAGCCCTTGATTGCAGTGGGGTGGAGAAGGAAAGTGTGTGACAGAGAAATCAGGAGGAATGAGGGGGCACAGAGCTCTTTCCTTCTCTCTGAATGGCTTCTGCTGACCATATAGCCCAGGAGCACTTTGTTCAGCTAGGACGTTATCTCATCATAGATTGTGCTGCCCTGAGCAGTGCCTGTTTCCCAAGTGTGAGAAGAGTGATGAAGAAGAGAAAAGGTGAAATTGGTCTTTGTTATCTATGTTGCCTTCCTCTTCCCAGGAATTCATCCCTGAGAACTATGCATCATGCATTATCATATTTTTAAGTGGAATTTAGGGCTTTGCAGCTCTGCATTTTTTTATTCATTCAACAAACAGGGAGTGCCTGTGATGTACCAGGCACTGTGCTAGGTTTTGGGAATGTATTATACTAGATGCTGGTACTTGCAAACTACTTTGAGAGATGGAAAATAGCCAGTTAGAATGGAGTGATACGTGCCACCATGGAGGTAAGCTTAGGGTGCAGTGGCCCCCAATTTTAGGGAGCCAAGAATTGTTTTCTGGAGGAAGTGACTGAATAATGAATAGGACATAGCTAGTATGGTGGCAGTGTGGGCAAAGACTCAGCAAGAGAGAATATCATGTAAAACAAGATCTGGTAGTGCTGACCTTTTGATGTTCTTTGGCTTTAATTCCGTTTGAATCTGTGGCTCTTAGAAGTATGTACATACGTAGGAGCCAGTATACAAAGAATTTATGTAGCACCTACCAAGTCCAAGGGCACTACAAAGTTCTAAGAAGGATGAAGGAGGTATAAAGTGTGACGTCTGCCTTTGAGGAGCTGCCAATGAATTTGAGAAGACAAGGTGTACATTCACGCACACAGTAGCATGATTACAAGCACTGTAGAGTCAGACAGCGCTAGGTTCGAATTCTGGATCTGTTCTTTACCATCTGTGGAACCTTGGACAAGACATCTCAAATCTCTCTTGAATCTTTGTTTCCCTATGGCAATCATTCTCAAAGTGGAGCCTGGATCAAGAACATCCCCATCACCTAGGAGCTTGTTAGAAATGCAGATTCTCGGGCCTCACACCATAGGCTTTGGGTGTGGGACTTTAACAAGTTCCTGGAGGTATTCTGATGCAAGTTCAAATTTGAGAACCACTGTCCTCTGGGGTGGTCTTGAAGATTAAATGAGGCAATGTATATAAAGTATTTAACAAACATTTTTTAGGTGTTCAATAAATGGTAGTTGTTATTTACCAGCAACATTACATTATACATATATACATCATGTATAGTATATACACACGCACATCATCTATGTTTTATATATATAATTAAGAGGGAGTGGGAGCAATGTGAAGGCTAGTTTGGCTGCAGTGATCTGAAGCAATCCCTTTCCTCCATTGTGGGAGGGCAGAGCCCAGTGTTCTTTGCGTAGGCCTCACCAGCTCCTTAAAGGCTCAATAGATGTTTTTGAGTAGCCACGCTCCTTCCCTCGACCCTCTTCTCTGTGAGTTCCCAGGTGCTGACCTATACACCAGCCTCAGTCAGGGCTGTCTAAGGACCATGAGAGTTGTACACTGAGTGTCCAGGGCAGTGGCCAGGCAGGTTAGGGAGGAGTTTTTGGAGTGGGAGGCTTCACATACAGACCAGATTACCACTATATCCACTGATTATCCATTTTTCTCTAATGTGAGCATTGGTTTGAGCTTTACAGTGAGGAATTACAAGAACCCCAAGGAGCAGGTGCTGGGCAAGACATGAGAATGCTGGGCTACTGTCTCTCCACTGGTAGCATCAGCCTTTCTAGCCTGGTTTCACCAACTAGTCTAGCAGGGACTTGTTTGGGGGAAGTGAAGGCTGTAAGTCATGAGTTTAGAGGAATATGGCTATCTCTAGGCTGGGTGCCAGGGAGGATATTTTTCTCCCTAGCTTTCTCAGCGAAGATGCCATGATGAGATGCTAAATCATGTCTAAGTTAATGGGTATGTGATGTCAAGGGAAGATTTGGTTTAAGCTTCCAGAATGAGCTCAGTGGGAAAATTGGAGCAATGTTCAAAGAAGGACTGAAGAGCTATGTTTTTATCACATTTCCTTAGCTATATGTAGCCTTATATCTAAGCTTTAAGTAATAAATAACTTTATTCATTTATTACTGTGTCTAAGACAACATTCCAGAGCTGTATCAATTCTATATAAGGTGGGCCAGGTGGCTCTTCAGAACAACTTTCTCACCTTTACTCTAGGAATCCTGGTCTAGGGCTAATGAAAACTACTTACTGTTAACTATTCTTCATTTTTTTTTTTTTTTCAGTTCATGTTGAAGTGCTTCACTGTTAACTATTCTTCATTCAAATTTCTTTAGTTTTTCCCTAAAGACCTTTTACTGCCCCAGGACTCTACCTGAGGGCCCTAGTCATATTGGATTAGAGTCCACCTTAATGACCTTATCTGAACTGATCACATCTGCAAAGACTCTATTTTCAGATGAGGCCGCATTCACAGGTACCAGGGTTTTAACTTGAACATATCTTTTGTGGGGTAGGGTGCACGTTTCAATCCATTACAGGCAAGCAAGGCAGTAAGGCTTACAAATGCGTGTTAAACCACCACTAAAATAAACCCCCCAAAACAAACAAAAAAACCCCATATAAGGCATATAATTCTAACTTGGTAGTGGTGTCAATATGATGCATGTGTGTATTCCCCTAGTGAATATTAGTGTTTCCTTGTGTCAAGCACTGTACAATAACACTGAGATAAGTGTCCAGCACTTAGCATGGCCCTTAGTGTGTTAACAGATGGTGAAAGATATTAGGCGATGATAAAGAGAAAGGGCCTGGGAGTGATGGTTCATAGATGATATGGGGTTTGAACAGGAATGGAAATTGCCCAGCAGATGTACCAGAAGTTACCCAAGGCCTTCCAGAGAGAGAGAATAGCATATGCAAAGGTGTGGAATGGTGAAACAGTATGATGAATTTTGAGAACATTGTTACAGTTTTGGTGAGTACAAGTTTCCCCTTCAAAATCAAGGAAAAAAGGACAGGGAGTGGTAGAATGACATTCTTTCACTTTTGCTTGGGAGAGTGCTCCTGTTCACTTTCTTTGGTGGCTCTGGGCGTTTTGAATAACAATTGAATAGCTATCAGATATGCACTGCTCCCCTGCTGTGCCTCACCTAATTTTAGGGAAAGGGAGTGGTCCCAGAAGGTTCCATAAGAGGCAAGAAGCTTAAGCAGAAGCAGGTGGGGGAGTGAGATGACCACTGTTACAGAGAGGAGTGAGCAGGGGAGATAATGAAGATGTTTGACCAGAGCAGAAGGTATGTTGGGGAGAAAGGAGGAAATAAGTTTATGGAGACCCTTACATGTTGGGCAGAGAGATTAGTTAGTTAAAAGTACCTGAGACCTTTTTTTGACGCAAACACCAATTTGATCTCTCCCACCTCACATGTCTTTGCCTGCTGGGAAAGT